AAAACCCACCCACCCAAAACCATAACAAAAATGACTGCATGCACCACTGTAATACCATGCCACTCTTTACAAACAGAGACAACACACAATTACTCTCTCACACACATATTACCTCTTTATTTATCCTTATTACTATTATTTTATTTTTCCCTCAGAATGCCGGTTCACCTCTTCTTCTCCCACAGCATTATCAGCAAAAAAATAAAAAAACACCCCCACCCACACACTTCCTTTACTCCATGGTGTGAATTAGGAGGGTACGATCAAACATATCCCCTTCCACCCACCCAAAAAGGATCCCACAAACCACACCACCACGTTTTTCCTTCTGCTCTTTATGGATATTACTCCAATGGTACGGCTATCAACCGTACACCGTAGAGCAATTTAATTACTGACTTACGAGAGTGGCTCCGAAGAAGAAGATCCCTTTATTTTAGAGGATCCTCAAGCTCTTGTAATATGATTTTTGTTGTAGCCCGTTCCCAAACGAGAAAACCAGTCTAAGAGAAATCTAATCGAGTAAACCCAACCAGATCTCTCTACTCTCACTGTTCTTACCCAGAACCCGTCCTCAAGTCTCCTTTTTTGTTATTATTTTATTTTAATTTTTGTTATTTTTTTGTGATAGATTGGCCTCAATGAATTCCTATTTATTTTGTTGCTTCTTTGGTCGGCGACAGACGTCTTGAGCTTACTCTTCTATCAGGGTTTCCATGCTCGAGCTCGTCGCTTATTTTAGAGAGGTGGGGAGGCCTTACAGAGGGGGAGGTAGGTCGCGTAGGGTTATCTCTTGGTTGTGAAGTATGTGGCATAGTGTAGTTCCGCTCCACCGCAATTAGGAACTGTGCTAACCGCTTAAAAAAACATAGTTTCATCAGGGGTACATCATCAACTATCGCAAATTGAACTCGCAGTGGATGAAGAGCGGGGCAACTCAAGAGATGAAGAGCTGTTTCGTCGCATTCGTCACGTTGACTGGAGTGCGCGCGAGTAGGTTGATACCCGTGACGTGACATTCGGTGTAGAGTTAGGCCTGATTTACTCATACACATTGACGACCGCATGAGGGGCAGACTAATGCCGGAAGGTCTCTCGTTTTCGTTGTTTTGTATTGCCCATTGGTGGAATTCGATTTTTGTGGCATGCCCTCTCCTTCATGGAATTTTCTGCATTGTATTACGAGGGAGGCTAGGTGGGCGTAGAACTTCTGGCATACTCCGCATTGGACTTTCTCTCTGTCCTCACGCTCCGGTGACGACGTATCTCGCTGGCGTTTCTTATTTTGCGGAAACGTTACTTGTATTGTTGCTGGCAAAATTGGGGTTCCAGATGGATGTTTGAACTTTTTGTGGCATGCGAGACCACCAATGTTGCCAAGTCGCGAAGGCGGAATTCGCATCGTAGTGAAGCAGGCTGTGGGATGAGCTGAGGGCGAGGTGCGTCCTTTGTGGGGTTCTCAGGATGTTTTGCTCTAATATGGGCTT